TGTACTCCAGGCTGGCCTCAAATTTGAGAGTCTCCTGCCTCAGCCTTACAAGTGCTGGGATTCCAGATGTGCAGCATCGCACTCAGCTAAGATCAGATCCTGATAAAAGCAAGTTATTTCTACTGATGGCTAATGATTTTCCTTTTACTCTATATTCTGCTGTCCTGTTGAGAGAATAAGGAAAGATCTGGTAGCCTCCCTGTATAACAGGAAACATCTCAACCCTCTTCCCTTTCTTTTAGTGACACTCTTTCTAATCTTCACTGGCTGTGTGAATCTACTCATAAAATGTGTCTGGGAGCATATGAGATGTTCATATGAGTTATTCATATGGCTGCTGCAAAGTATGAGGGAAGGGAAAAAGATTTCTTTCTTATAGGCTTTTGCTTACATTTTAGAACCACTGATGTAATATTTAAATTTCAAAGAATCTTACTTCATTTTATTACTTATTTATTTTGGGGTGTTTTTTTTTGGACACAGGGTCTCACTATGTAGTTCAGGCTGGCCTTGAACTCACTATGTAGCCCAGGCTGGCCTCAAACTTGTAACAATCCTCCTGCTTCAGCCATCCAAGTACTGGGATTACAGGGGTGCGACACCATGCCTGGCAATCTTACTACATTTTAAGGCAACGAGGTTAAGAAGACAACTTAGAAAAATGCATTAATTTGCAGGAAGTATTTTGATATGAAAAGTTTTCCAACTGAAGAAATTATTCATTAAATAAAAGCTAAGAAATTTCATTGAAATCACAAGGCAATGTACAAATAAATGGAAATAAATAATTGTGTACTACCTAACAGACAACCATTCAACCAAAAGAAAAGGCAAATGAATATGGTTTATTAGATAGTGACAGTTTATTGTAACCTTGATTAAAAGATAACACTCTGGGGCCAAGGATTTAGCTCAGTGGTTCTGCCACCTGCCTCACAAGCGCAAGGTCCTGAGTTCAATCCCCGGTACCCCCCCCCCCCAAAAAGAGATAACACTCTGTTAGTATGCTCTGTTTTATTTTTTTGTATCAGGGATTGAACTCGGGACCTTGCGCTTACAAGGCAGGCAGCAGAACCACTGAGCTAAATCCCTGGCCCATTATGCTCTGTTTTAATAAAAGTGAATAAAATTTTTACAAATATATCAATTTATATGGAATTTATTTTGATGTATAGAGTTCTCTATTTTCCACTTGATCTTAGCCAAAAGGCTGAGAAGCGAATAGAGTTCTCTATTTTCCAAAAGGGACATTTTCTGATTTTGATTATGGCTACTCCTTTTTACTTTCTAATGCCCATATTTTTCAAAAGAACTCATATGTATCAGTGAAAATACTATCTCCATTTTATTGGCTTACTTCAGCTCAAAGTAAAGTAGGATGTAATGTGTTGGTATTTTATTACTCTGGACTTTGGTGTCCTTTGGCTGAAGGAGTCAGATGGCTACAGTGAGACTTCTGTTTTGTTTTTTTGGTACTGGGGATCCAACTCTGGACCTTGCGCTTGCAAGGCAGGCGGCAGAACCACTGAGCTATAAATCCCTGGCCCCTACAGTGAGACTTCTGGATGAACAGGAAGACTGTGACTGACAAAAGATTTCATGACCTTTTTCCATGAAGGTACCAAATAGATGAACACAAGACAGCATGTCCATGTGGTGGGTTTTCTGGCTCTTTTCCTGGTAAGTGCTGTGAGTTAGGGCCTCCCTATATGATAGAATATTCTTCTGGTTCCCTTCTCAATTGCTAATTTTCATCCCCTGATCATTACCTACCAGGAAAATGAATGATTCTGGAAAGGCTACTCATACTTATTTTCAAGAATGCTGACTTTTTTTCGAAGGGGGAGAGGTCCCCTGGGCTCAAACTCAGGGCCTTGTGCATGGCACACTCTACTATTAAGCTACATTCCCAACCCTTTTCATTTTGCGACAGTGTCTTGCTGAGTTCTCCAGATGGGCTCAAACTTTCAATTCTCCTGCTTCAGCGTCCCAAGTAGCTGGGATTACAGGTGTATACCAATACTGCTGGCCAATTTAGCTTTTTGACTCAAAACATTTAGGGTTTATCTTCTAATTAATATGATGCCACTTTGTTATTGCTTGCCCCCTCATTGTGGCTCCCTCTCTTGAGTCTAACCTTCTGAAAGTAAAGGAACCATTAGAGACCAAGAATCACTATCTGTTGGCCAGGCACTGTGGCACACACCTGTAACCCCCATACTTGGAAGGCTGAAGCAGGAGGATTGCTGTGAGTTTGAGGCCAGCCTGAACTACTTAGTGAGGCCCTGTCACAAAACAAAACAAATCCGGATCCCTATGCTTCTTGTAAGCCAGATTTTCAGTTCTAGTCTCTTTTGTGATCTTGTTTTCTTTTTTTTTTTTCTTTTGTATCTTTCAGACAGCGTCCTTCTATGTAGTTCAGGCTGGCCTTCAACTCACTATGTAGCCCAGGGTGGCCTTAGCCTTGGGCTCAAAATGATCCTGCCTCAGCCTCCAGTGGATCACAAGTGTGCGCTACTATTGTAGAATAGGTAAATTAATTAGATATCTTGTAGGCAGTTAGACAGGGCCGGCCTTCCAGGAACCAACATGGAGGACAATCAAGAGACTCACTGTGGGCCGGGGATTTAGCTCAGTGGTTTCGCCACCTGCTACGCAAGCGCCAAGGACCCGAGTTCGATCCCCTACCACCACCACAAAAAAGTTGATGATATTCTAAACACGTATCAATCACCTAGGTAGGAGACCAAGATGTCACCCAACCCTTACCAAAAATCCTTGCTCATTCCTTGTATGCTTCCCCATTGGAGGCCTATTTAATCAATATTACCCATACTTGTAAGTGACTGTACTTGTAATCTTACTAGTTGACTATAGTTTTGTCCCCCCTTGAACCCACCTCACCTTGTGGCTTTGTCTCATAAAACACCTCTGAGAAGCAGGGTAAGCGGTCACCCACCCTCCGGTCCCCCTTCTGTCTCTCTTAGAAGCTGAGAAGCTGTCTTTCTCTCAATAAATTTTTCCTACTCTTTTTTTTTTTTTTGGTACCAGGGATCGAACTCCGGTCCTTGTGCTTTCAAGGCAGGCGGCAGAAACACTGCACTAAATACCCAGCCCCAAGTTTTCCTACTCTTAACCTCCATTGCTCCTAGATTTCATCTATTTTAGAGAACACAAACTCATGCTTTGGATATCTAGCACCTTTGGGAGTTATATCTATTCCCTCTATATCACTATCTCAAGCCTGGCCCTGCCTTGATCTTGTGAATCTGGGGACTTAAATGCTACATTTTTGTGGCAATCCTTCTTTGTGTACTTCAAGTTGTTTTTTTTTTTGTTTTTTTTTTTTTAATCTGCACTATTGGGGATTCAACCTAGGGCCTTTTAACATTTTTTTTTTTGGAGACAGGGAGTGTCTCACAAAATTCCCCAATCTGGACTCAAATTTGCAATCCTCCTGTCTCAGCCTCCCAGAGTGCTGGGATTATAGGTGTGTGCCACCACACCCAGCTATTCACCCAGTTCTAAATGCAGAACAAAAACAGAGCATACTTTGGCTTGAGAGGTCTCTCAAAGGCCCACATGTTAAAAGCTTGGTTGCCAGCCTATGGTGCTGTTCAGAAATAGTGGGACCCTTTGGAAGAGGGCCTAGTGGAAGGAATTTAGATCATCAGGTTGCACCCTTGAAGATGATACCGGGAAGCTGGTCCCTTCCCGTCTGCTTTCCAGTCACCATGAAGGCAACAGGCCTCCTCTGACATGCACGCCTGCAATGATGTATTGTGTTGCCACAGTATCAAAGTAACAGAGCCAAGCAACCACAGACTGAAACCTGAGATTATGAATCCAAATAAACCTTTCCTGCGGGGCGGGGATTTAGCTCAGTGGTTCCACCGCCTCCCTTGCAAACGCAAGGCCCCGAGTTCTATCACTGGTACAAAAAAAAAAACCAGGAACAAATAAACCTTTCCTCCTTATAAACTGATTATTCCAGGTATTCTATCATAGTGACAGAAAGCTATTTAACATAGAGTGTTTTCCTTGGCGACTTACAAATGAGTTATTCTATCACATTATACAATGAAGCATCCATGATTTCCTTCCTGCCTTGTAACTTCCTTCTCGTGGGGGTAGCAGTCCTAGGGTTCCAGCACCAGTTTTCAAACAAATGCACAGTTCCCCTGTGCGTGGGATACCCATAGTGGAAGCTAGCAGACAGACAGTACAATGTTTCTTTGCAGACAGATGGGGATTAATTTCTAAGCCACACAAAGGCATTAATTTTTGTAAATCATGAACAGTTCATCCCATGGCATTTGAATAAGTTGACTTCAATTGATTTAAAATAAAAATAAACACAGACAAATGCAAACAATTACAGATGCAGTCATTGGCTCTCTATTTTGCTTAGAAACTAGTAGATCTCGGGAAGCATCTGCCTAAGGAGGATTATGTGTTTCCCCTGTAAGGGAAAAGGCAATGGTTTCATCTATGTGCAAATCACTAACTTGGGGAACAGGGGATTTTTACAAACCACAAACTTTAGCTAAAATTGCAAATGGTGCTGTGATCCAAACAACTCTCACTAAAATCCAATCAGTGAAAGAACAGTGGGTGACTGGAGTATTTCTAAAACTTTGTGTCTCTATAGATAGCACAGCAGCGACTGATTCTTGGGAACTCAGGGAAGCTGCTGACTCACTTCACTAGTGAGATGAATCACCTGGCAGAGCTCTCTGCCCTGGGGACAGGAGGGTTACTGGAGGAGGAATAGTGCTTCACAAAAGACATTTGAGAACTAGTGTTGTCACACAGAGGTGACTCCTACCACCCAGCTTAGTGTGTGCTCCCTATCTCTTTAGAACTAATCTTTCACACCCATGTTTTCATCTGAAATATCAGGAACCATAGCCCTGGCAATCTACCAAAGGTCAGAAAGTTCATGATGACTGCTTACCAGTGCCCTCTGCTTATAGAAACCCCACACACTAAATACTTACATGTCTTAGCTACAGTTTCCAAAGAATCCAAAATAGATTGGCTTCTTGAAGTGAGGTGCTCCTCAGACTTGTCCACAGATGTCTGCAACTAAGAAATCCAAAGTTAAAAAAAAAAAAATCACAGAATCTTGGTTTATTCTACTAATTTGGAGAATTGTCATTTAACCATAAAATAGGGTAGTTAAAATATTGCTATTTTACATGAACTAAAGCTGATACTTTTTTTTTTTTTTTTTTTTTTGCTTTTTTGAGACAGGGTCTCACTATATAGTTCAGCCTGGCCTTAAACTCACTATGTAGCCCAGGTTAGCCTCAAAATTGTGGCAATCTGCCTGTCTCAGCCTCCCAAGTGCTGGGATTAGATGTGCACACCCTAGATCCATCACACTTGGCAATACCTTATCATTATTAAAGGTCTTAAGAAGTAAGATGTTCTAACTCTTGAAATGTAGCTATACTTACCCTCTGAATGTTTTCTCTGACCTGGGAAAGGAAGTTGTATAGACTCTCACTAGAGTAGGAGGAAAAAAAGAGAACAAGTTTTTGTGAAATATTGAAACAACATAAAACAGAACTGATTCCATGAATATGGCAGGTGTCCATCTAGGAAACACTGCTTGATCAGAAATGGAGCTCAACCTGAAAAACTTCAGGGCCTAGAAGGAAAAAAGTAGAACATTAACTGTGACCATTTCCAAGGAAAATTACATTTTTCTTTTTAAAATCTATATCATATATCTTTTTTTTTTTTTTTTTTTTGGTACCAGGGATCGAACTCGGGAACTTGCGCTTGCAAGGCAGGTGCTGGAACCACTAAGCTAAATCCCCGACCCTAGATGCAGCTTCATAACTTACTTCCAAGTAACTAATTTCTCTGACCAACCTCCTTACATAAAAAATGAATGTAGGTGCTGGGCATGATGGTGCATGCCTGTAATACCAGCATTTGAGAGGCTGAGGCAGGCAAATCACTGCAAGTTTGAGGCCTGCCTGGGCTACACAGTGAGTTCAAGGCCAGTCTGAAATACACAGTGAAACCTTGTCTCAAAAAAAAAAAAAAGTAGCTGTTGTAATTTATTCACATTCTCATTCTCAGCCTCCACTCCAGCCATGAGGACTTACTATGTGCCCCAGGCTGGTCTTAGATTTATGAGTTCAAGTGACCCTTCTGCCTTAGCCTCCCAAGGAGCCAGGACTCCAGGTGTGGGCCATTATACCTGGTTTAGCAGTCCTAATTCATCTCACATGTTTGCTACAAAAAATAACACTAGTGAATAATATGCATAAAATTCAGAGTATACATCAAAAATGTAAACATTTTAAAGTGAGAGAATCAGCCTTAACTATGACTTATGCGCCAGATGTGGTGGTGCATGTCTATAATCCCAGTACTTGGGAGGTTGGGGCAGGAAAATTGTGAGTTCGAGGCCAGCCCAGGCTACATAGTGAGTTCAGGGCCAGCCTGAATTACAGAGCAAGACCCTGTCTCAAAAAAAAAAAAAAAAAAAAGTCGTGCATTATATTGGCCTAGAGGTTAGTTCAGTAGGACTTGCCTAGCATACAGGAGGCCCTGAGTTTGACACCCAGCACTGCTAAAAAAGAATTCATGAGGTTTTTTTTGTTTTGTTTTGTTTTTTAAACAGCGTCTCACTCTGTAGCCCAGGCTAGCCTCAAACTGATGGTAATTCTCCTCCTCAGCCTCCTGAGTGCTGGGATTATAGTCATGTGCCATAATGCCTGCCTCAATTTTATGTATTTTTATTTTTATTTTGTGTACTGGGGATTGAATCCAAGGACTGCACATGTTAGGCAAACACTGTATCACTAAGCTACATCTCCAGCCCTTTTAAAATTTTTCTTTTGGAATTAAAAGAATCATACCACAGTTATATATGTGCACCCATGTTCATAGCAGCACAGTTTGTAATAGCTAGAAATTGGAAACAGCCCAAATGCCCATCAACTGGAGACTGGATAAAGAAAATGTGGTTTTTTATAAAATGGAGTACTACTCAGCCATAAAAAATGAAAATTAGAGACATTTATAGCTAAATGGATGTACATTGAGATGATACTCTTTTTTTTTTTTTTTTTGGTACTGGGGATAGAATACAGGTCCTTGCGTTTGCGAGGCAGGTGGTGGAACCACTGAGCTAAATCCCCGGCCCTGAGGTGATACTCTTAAGTGGAATAAATAGGACACATGTGTAAATACTGAATAGTTTCTCTAGTGTGAGAAACTGAAAGTGTAAATAAGGACTAAAAGGTATAATAGATAATATGAAATAGGAAGAAAAGGGGCAAAGGGGAAGGGGAAGTGGGAGGGGTAGGGGAAAGGAAAGAAGGGAATGGAATTAATATGATAAAATGAAAACAAAGTCTTTGTAAATAAGGAAGGGATGGAGGGGTTGAAGGGAGGGCAGGGGAAAGGGTAAAAAATAAGAACCAAGAGAGATTATGTAAAGGTGCAAATTTCCAATGATGAATGTCATTATATTGTATACCTTAAATGTACCAATAAAATAAAATTTAAAAAAAATTTTTCTTTTGGATACAGTCTCACTAAGTTACATAGGCTGGACTTGTGATTCCTCTGCCTCAGCCTCTTGAGTAGCCACAATTACAGATATGCACCACCATGACCAGACTGTGCTTTTAAAATTTTTCTTGGTATTGAAGATTGAACCCAGGGACTATGTACTGAGCTAAATTCCAAGTCTTTTTCACAATTTTTGAAACATATTCTCACTAAATTGCTGAACTGCCCAGGCTGGGATTAAATCTGAGAAACTCCTGCCTCAGACTCCTAAATGCTAGGATTACAGGCATGCATAATGGGCTCATGCATATTCTTTTTTTTTTTTTTTGGTACCAAAGATCAAACTTGGGACCTTGTTCATGCATATCCTTGATCTTAAAATAACGTTACCTAATATCCTAAACCTGATAATCTGAAAAGATAACAAATCAGAGAGCAAAATTTTAGACAGAATCAATATAGCATTTCTTAAGTCCTTTAGTTTTTACTTCTCAGGTCAAAATTTTGCCAGCCTAAAAAAAAAATTTGCCAGCCTTATTTAAATCTACAATAAGTTACATTGACAAAAAGCACTAGGTGTGGTGGCACACATTATTAGAAGAACTAAAAGGACCAGATGTGGTGGCGAGTATCTGTAATCCCAGCTGTCTGGGAGACTGAGGCAGGAGAATTGACTCTGACTCAAAATAAAAATTTAAATTAAAAAAGGGTTGGAGATGTACCTAAGTGTGAAGGCCCTGAGTTCAATTCTCAGTACTGCAAAAAATAAAAGATCTCAAAAAACTAAGATGAATGCTCTGTTACAGCCTGTAATCTCAGCAATTTGAGAGGCTGAAGTAGTTAGATCAAAAGTTTGAGTCCAGCTTGAGTAATTTAGTAAAACCTGTCTCAAAATCAAAAATAGAAAAGGATGTCGATGTTGTTCAGTGGTACAGGGCATCTGGGTTCAATTCCCAGGAACATGAATACACGAACACACACACACACACACACACACACACACGTGCATGAGCTGGAAGGCAAGAAGGCTATGCAATGGTTATTTGATACATTAACTTGAATGGGCTAAGAGATGCCCAGACATCTGGTAAAACATTATTTGAGTATGTCTGTAGGAGTTTTTCCATAAGAGCTAAGCATTTGAATTGGTAGGCTAAGTAAAGAAGATAACCCTCATAACATCATCCAAAGTACTGAGGGCCTGAATAGAACAAAAAGACAAAAGAAGGATAAATTCACTCTCTCCTCTTGAATCATCCATCTTCTGCCCTTAAGCATTAGAGCTCCTTGCTCTCAGACCTTCAAACTCCAGGACTTCATATCAGCAACTATCTCTCTCCTTCCCGAGGCCTTGACTCAGACTGTTTAGTTTTTGTTTTTGTTTTGAGACAGGTCTCACTATGTAGTCCAGGCTGGCCTTGAACTCACTATGTAGCCCAAGCTAGCCTTGAACTTGTATATACTCCTGCCTCAGGCTCCCAAGTGCTGGGATTACAGGCTGTGCCACTATGCCTTATTTCTGTATCTCTTGTCATCTGTCTCTCTCTCTGTCTCTGCCTGTGTATACACAAATCTTCCTGATTTTCCTTCTCTGGAGAACTCTTAATGTATGCTATGATGCACAAATTGAATTATTTGATTTTTTTAAAAACTGGTACTGGGAACTGAAACCAAGGCATTTGCATTGAGCTACATCCTCAGCCCTTATTTATTTATTAATCTTTTGTTTTTTTCTTGCAGTACTGGGGATTGAATCCAGGCCCTTCACACTGAGCTACATCCCCAGTTCTTTTTATTTTGAGACAGAGTCTCACTAAATTACTAAATTATGGACCAGGGATGTAGCTCAGTGGTTTCACCGACTGCTGCACAAGCGCAAGGACCCAAGTTTGATCCCCGGTACACACACACAAAAAAATTACTAAATTATCCAGGCTGGACTTGAAACGTCAGTCCTTCTGCCTCAGCCTCCCAGAGTGCTGGGATTACAGACGTGGGCTCCCTAAATCACGAAGCTACCCAGGCTGAGTCTGAACTTGTGATTCTCCTGCCTCAGCCTCCCAGAGTCCTGAATTATTTGATTACTGACACTGAATTATTTGGTTACTGACACTCCATTTTGTTCCCTCAGGAAACAGATTTGTCTTATCCATTTGAAAAGTTTCCATACCTGTCACATTTGTCTTTTGCAGTTTTATTTTTCTCCTCAAACTGTTTCAAGAGGCATTTTGATTTTCCAACTGGTAAAGGAAGAGAAAATAAGCCCCTGTCCTTTGTCTCTCCTCCAAAGAGTTGGGGTTTTGTCTGGTACTTTGTGAAAATACTAGGTTCACTCTGTTAAATGAAAAAAAATCAATATACCATTTCACACATAAAGCTATTATAGAATTCACTATTTTCTCTACAATGAAGAATACTTATGGGAAAACCATACTGCTAAGATAATATAGCATGTATTTTAAATATTTTTGTATCTATCAGAAAATTATATTCATAATAAAGTAACTCTTTTTACTAATAAAGTTTCTGTTTTATCAGCGCAGAGACATTTAATACGTCAGCTAAGGCCAAGTATAGATCCCTGTAATCTCCAGGACTCTGGGAGCCTGAAACAGGAACATTCCAAGTTTGAGCCCAGCCTGGGCAACTCAGAAACTTGAGACCCTGTCTCAAAAAAAAAAACAAACCTGAGATCGTAGCTCAATGTGAAGGGCCTGGATTCAATCCCCACGTCACCCCCCCACACCCACCCACCCACCCCCACACACAGCTAGCTAACATGGCTTGAAATCAGTTACATAAATTTATAGGTAACGACAGAAAATTACTCTGCCTCTGAGATGGTGTACTAAATTTTTTATTGTTTTGGGGGCACTGGGGAATTGAACCCAGGGCCTTTGTACTGAGCTACATCCCCAGTCCTTAGTCTTGCTAAGTCACTAAGCTGGCTAGGTTGTATTAAAGTTTTTATATTAAAAGGTTTAACTCAAATTGCTGTTTTGAAACAAAGTTCTGCTAATACAGTGCAAGTCAGCCTTGAACCTGCCTCAGCCTCCCTGAGTTGGGATTACAAGCGTATACCACCACACCTGGTAAACTGCTGTTTTTAGGTGCTAGTAAATTTAAAACCTGCTAGTAAGTTGGACATGACCTGGACAGTGGGCAGAGTGCCATATGATGAGCCATTTCCAGCATTTTTTTAATCTAACTGGAAACATTCGGTAAACACATCTATTACTTTATAGTGACATAGGGTGTGGCAAAGCTGGCAGGAGAAGTAGGTGTGACCTATTAATTACAAGATCTCTCAGGGCTGGGGATTTAGTTCAGTGGTTCCACTGCCACCCTCAAAAGTGCAGGGTCCCGAGTTCAATCCCCAGTACCAAAAAATAAAGAAAATAAAAATTAAAAAAAAAAAAAGATCCCAGAACACATGCCCTGCACCTGGACTTCTCAGAAGCACCTGAGCAGTTATTCAAAGGATGGCCTAGACCTGATGTCAACTAAGGCATGGGATCCCACGAGCCCATCTCGGACTCATAGGTAGAAGTTCTTGTGGGTTTCTTCAGGATTCAGAAAGCATAAAAGATGGGCTGAGGATTTAGCCCAGTGGTTCCGCCGCCTGGCTCAGAAAGTATAAAAGGGCACAGACACCAAGAAGAGTTTACTATTGTCCCTTTCCTCACAATACCCCACCCTGCTTCCTCCAGGGTATGCTTTTCAACTTGCTTTGTTTTTCGGGGGGTTTTTTTGGTGGTGGTGGTTGGGGGTCGAACTTGGTTCCTTCCGCTTCAATCCTCGCAAGTGCAAGGAGCCGAGTTCGATCCCTGGTACCAAAAAAAAAAAAAAAGAAGACGGGCAACCACCTCACTAACCTGTGCAGGTTGGTGGGCTCCAAGGCTGGGCTGGGCAAGTAACTCTTCGGAAGGCTCACCCTCAAACACAACTAGGAGGCCCCAGAGCTGGCCGGGCTCTGAGAGGCTCCTGCTCACCCAGCATCAGGGCTTTGGGCTAACCCTCTCCCTCTAGCCACCAGGCAGCTTTTTCATCTATCTGGAGCCCCCTCCCAAGTCTTGGACCAAAAGAAAATAAAGCCTTTTGCAGGAAAAAAAAAAAAGAACTCCCTAATAACAATATCATTAGATACCAGTTTTTGTACTAACATACTAACCTCAGAGCCTACTCCACTAACATAAAGCTCTGACCTAATCTTAGGTTTTATGTCCCTATTTGATGTAGGTGAGTCTGTATATAAAATTAAACATAGTTCTAGACCAAAAATAAATCAAAATATTGATTGGTCTCAACAAAAATCAAGGATTTAGCCAGGCCCAGTATCATACGCCTCAGGTTTCAGCTATTCAGTGAGGCTGAGGCAGGAAGATCATTTGTGCCCAAGCATTCAAAGTCAGCCTCAGTAACACAGTCACACCCTGTTTTTTAAAAACTCAAGTTGTTAAATGACTGTCCCAGCCCAAGAATGTAGTTCAATGGCACAGTGCCTGCCTGGCAAGCACAATGCCCTGAGTTCAATTCCAGGTACAAAAAAAAAGAGACTGTCACTCCTTTTGGCCCTTATTCATTAACTTGGGCCCTAAAATTTTCATCTTCTTCAAAGAGATAATGTAGCAGAGATGACGGAAATCCAAAAAGTACCCGAAGTTTCATAGAAAACAGTCCATCTAAAAGAAAATTTCTGTCAGTTTATCCCTATTTTATGACAATTATTTTCTTGTGAAATTTGCACAAACTACAGTATGACTAGACTTAGGAAATTTCATACATTTGCTTTTCCCTAGAAGTGTTCAAGGGACCAACAATATTCTATACTGTTTTGGTAAGAGAATAAACTCCAAATGTAATTTTTTTTCATTTCAGACCACCACATCAAATGAGTTGCACAAGGATGCTAGTGATTAGATGCTGTCAGGACAGTAATAATTAGAAATGTACAATTCTAAAATATTTTCTAATAGAACAATAGTCTTCTTCATAGCTTATCTCCATAGTGACAATGAAATATGTGTAGAGAAATTCTGGAAATCAGACTCACATCCACAGAATTCTGTTGTAACTGTTTTGAATGTCTCAAGTGAGCACCTAGGTCTAAGGGTGCTGACAGGGTTTCTGAATTTTCTGGACAAAACTGAGATCCAAAGAGGAACTGGGAATCACTGAGAGCAGAATAATCAGTCTGATTATTATTCCAGTGAGATGACTTAGTGGTCCTGAAATTAAGAAAAAAAAATATATATATAAGTAGACAAATATTCTGAACAAATGTAATTCATAATTCACAATTTCAGAATATTCTGGGCAGGATGCTAGTTTTTTCTGACCTGTAAGACTCCTATATACTGCCAGTACTACCTACAAAGACACACACACACACAAATTTTTTTGGATTTTTGGTTTTTGGTACTGGGGATCAAACTCAGGATCTTGCGCTTGTGAGGCAGGTGGCAGGCAGCAGAATCACTGAGATAAATCCCCTGCTCTTTTGTTTTGTTTTTTGAGACAGGGTCTTGGTATGTAATTAAAGCTGGACTTGAACTCACAGGGATCCTCCTGCTTCAGCCTCTCCACAGCTGATATTACAGATATTAGCCACCATGCCCGGCAACAAAAAATTTTTATTTTATTTTATTTTATTTTATTTTATTTTTTGGAACCAGGGATTGAACTCAGGTCCTTGTGCTTGCGCAGCAAGCAGTGAAACCACTGAGCTAAATCCCCGGCCCTTTATTTTATTTTTAAAATTTTATAAACAAGAAAAATTTAAATGCCACATATTTTTATTTTATTTTTGTCCCAGTGCCATGGATCGAACTCAGGACCTTGCACTTGCCACACAAGCACAGTGCTACTAAGCTACATCCCAGCCCTATATATTTTTATAATAACCTTGGAACCACCAAATGAAAATTCAAACAGAAAAAACCAACACCATTATTTCTTGCATCATAGCATTCTGGGCTATAACACCATTTTGGATATTTAAGTTCATAAAATTTTGTTTTAGGGATTAAAAAAAATCCTTTTTTTAAAAAGATGTATCAGTTCATCATTAAGGGACTAGATAGATGAAATATGGGATATGCATTTAGTTAATATAATAGAAACAAACTAAAACTATATAGAATCAGATTTTTGTGAAAAAAAAGTTTGTGTGCAAATAAATTAAAAATCAAATGAGCTCTATCATACATCATTTATGTGATTTTTTTTTTTTTTTTTTTTACCAGGGATCGAACTCCGGTCTTTGCACTTGCAAGGCCAGCCGTGGGATTTCCATCAGGGCTCATATCTAAGGTGACTCTCTTGGAAGAAGCCTCTTTTTTTTTTTTTTTTTTTTGCTACTACTGGGGATCAAACTCGGGTCCTTGCGCTTGCGTAGCAGGCATTGAAACTGAGCTAAATCCCCGGTCTTTATGTGAATTTTTGGTATTGTGTGAGGCAGGATTTCTCTGTGTGGTCCAGGCTAGCCTTGAGCTTGTGATCCTTCTACGTGCACTCCCTTGCCCAACTTATTTATGTAAATTTTTTTTTTTTGGTACCAGGGATCGAACTCAGGACCTTTTGCTTTTGAGGTAGGCAGCAGAACCACTGAGCTAAATCCCAGACCCTTTATGTAAATTTTTAAACCTACATTATGAACACTAAACAAATATACTAAGTGTATAGAAGGTGAAGAAGGACACACACTAACTTTCTTAGTGTGTGTGCCTATGGGGAAGGAAACAGGACTGGAGAGAGAGAAGCCATAATAGAATAAATGCAAATCTTGCTGTAGGCTGTCTGTATCCCCCTTAAATTTATATGTTGAGGCCCAACTCTCCCACAGTGAAGGTATATGGAGATGGGGCCTCTCGAAAGTACTTAGGTTTACATGAGATTCTGAGGGTAGGATAGGATTAGTGTCCTTAAAAGAAGAGACACCCCACCCACTCACCCACACACACACTCATACAGTACACCTTGGGCTCTGTCTCAGTCATGAGAAGATACAGAATTAAAGGGGTCTGTCAATAAGCCAGGAAGACATTATATATATTACATATATTTATATGTATATTAGTTATTCAGAATAGTAGATTTCATTTTGGATGTTTGTATATGCATAAAACATATTTTAAGCTGCTAAGTTTTTTGTTTTTTGCTTTTTGTTTTTTTCCAGTATCAGGGATCGAACTCAGGATCTTGCACTTGCCAGGCAGGTGCGGTGCCACTCACTGAGCTACATCCCGGCCCTCATAGCAGTCTTTAGACCTCATACATGAAGGGAGGAATTTAGCAAAACTCTGTCTCAAAATAAAAGGGGGGGCGGGATGTAGCTTAGTATAAAAGCCTTAGGTTCAATCTCTAGTACCACCAAAAAAAATTGTTTTAATTTTTAATTAAAAGATCTCAGCTGGGCATGGTGATACACACCTGTAATCCCAGCACTCAGGAGGCTGAGGAGGATCACCATGAGTGACTTGGGCTACATACTCAGTTCAAGGCCAGCCTCCACTCCATAGTGGGACCACATCTCAAAGAAACAAAAAATTTCAATAACAATTTGCATTATTTAATGCTACTGAATAAGCTGAGAACAAATACTTTTTATGAGCACATACATATCTACCTACAAATAACTCCATTTTCCAAATGCTTAATTTAAACTAATTATGGTGGTGAACACCTGTAATCCCAACTCAGGAAGCTGAGGCAGGCAGATTGCCTTGAGTTTGAGGCCAGCCTGGGCTACATAGTGAGTTCAAGGCCAGCGTGAACTACGTAGCAAGACTCTGTCTCAAAAAATCAAAACCAAAAACTAATTAGTGTATAAGTACATATTCTAAGTTGAAGTAATGTTCATATTATCAATACAAACAAAAAAGTTATTTATATATTGGTATAAGCATTATTAATCAAATGAAAAGAAAACAGTTCAATATAAGGGCAATTATTTTTACTCATAGAACCATTTCTTGAGATTAGCTAAAGTAATGGGCTTCACACGTATATTGTAATATGGGTTGCAAAATCATTGCTCAAAATAGCTCTCTGAAACAAAGACAATAATCAGCTAGGCTGAAAAAAAATCCAGTTCTGCAATGTAAGAGTTATATCTGGAACCAAAAACCTGGAATTAAACAACGATTTCTGTCTATTCTGTATCACCCAAAAGCACTTTCTTCTTTTTGAGAAATAAAGAGAAAGTGTTCTAGGTTTTTGATCAATTAATAACTTCATTCCAGAAGGTGTAGGAAAAGAACTATCCAATGATACCAAAAGCAACTAGAGTTCCCTTAAATATACACTAGTCCCTTAAATATACCCTCCAAATTAGCAATAGCAGATTTATTGTAGGTTGGTGAACACCAATCTAAGTACCTCAGTGGAGCAATGGAGTGGGCACTATGTTAGAAGAGCCTTGGGGGCTGGGGCTTTAGCTCAGTGGTTCTGCCACCTGCTTCACAAGTGCAAGGTCCTGAGTTCGATCCCCAGTATCAAAAAAAACAAAACAAAAAAGCCTTGTCAATAGCCAGAGTGGCTCTTATCCCCACAATACCTACCAATTCCATTATTGATTCAAACTCACAAATGAACACTGATTTGATTTTGCTCTTTACTATTTCAGCAGCAATGACCCAACTGTGGTCAGATTGTACATGTTGGACCATGTCTGATTTTCATAGGTACAGTCTGTAAGCCCAGTGCTAGAATAGAGTTATTACTCAGTTAACAAAGAGTTGGACTGACACCCTACCAGGAAATGGGAAGGAGGAAAAAACAAGCACAGGAAGGAGAAGCAGTGACAAAGGAGAAAATAGAAAAGAGCCAGTATGAGGTATCTTTATTACTATAAACTAATAGGAAGGAGACCTTTTTTCTATAATATCATAAGGCCTTCTTAAATATTAGAGAATGTTTTTTGTTTTTGTTTTGGTACTGGGGATCGAACTTGGGACCTTGCGCTTCCGAGGCAGGCGCCGGAACCACTGAGCTAAATCCCCGGCCCAATATTAGAGAATGTAATCAGAAAACTTACCCAGAGCCTGAGGGAATACTGAGCATCTCTTTGACATTCCAGACATTAAAATTCATTTCTTATGATTTTTTCTACCAGAAAGAACACAAGAATATTAATTAAGATTAGCCAGGCATGGTAGTACATGCCTGTAATTCCAGCATTCAGGAGGTTCAAACAGGAGGATCACAAGTTCAAGGTTAGCCTGGACTACATAACAAGGCCCTGTCTCAGGTAAATTAATTAATTAATTAGTTTGGAGACAAGGTCTCAATAAGTCATTATAATGCACAGGCTGGGCTTGAACTTGAGTCCCTGCTGCCTCAGTCTTCCAGAGTGCTAGGATTATAGACATGCACAACCACAATAGGCTAAACCATGAAGTTCTAAACCAGGTCAGTCCAGTACCAAAGCCATGCTGTTTATTTTATTTATTTATTTATTTTGGTACCAGGGATTGAACTCGAGACCTCGAGCTTCTGAGGCAGGTGGCGGAACCACTGAGCTAAATCCCCGGCCCTAATCATGCTGTTTAAAGCAAACCACGTTCTGTTTCTTAACATTTGCTCTGTTTTAGGTACTTTCTAGGACCAAGCAGCTCTGAATGTCTCCCTTTATTAGTAGCAAGGCAATAAATTGAAACCATATAGCTAGGTAGCTTGTTTGCTTGCTTTTCGTTTTTTGAGACAGGGTCTTGCTATGTAGTTCAGGCTGCCCTCAAACTCACTGTAATCCTCCTGCCTCAACCTCCCAAGTGCTGTTATTACAGGCATATGCCACCACTCAGCCAAAAGCATATAGTTTTAGAAGCAACCAGCCCACGTTCAATCCTGGTACCAAAAATATATAAATTAATTAATTAATTTAAAATCTAGGTGGCAACTTTCCTTTATATCATAATATTCTTGGGCCAGGGATTTAGCTCAGTGGTTCCGCTGCCTGCCTTGCAGGCGCAAGGTCCCGAGTTCAATCCCTGGTACCAAAAAAAAAAAAAGCAACCAGACAAAAATTCAGATCCTGACTCTTGAACTTATAACCTGAGTGAACTTGACCACTTCTTTTTTTTTGGTACCGGGGATCGAACTCAGGTTTTTGCACCTGTGGGGCAGGCGGTTGGCACCACAGAGCTAAATCCTGGCCCCTTGACTACTTCTTTGAAACTCAGTTTCATTAATTAAATGAGAACAAGAGGATAACATCTATCTTAAAGAATGGGGATAGGAATTCAAGAACATGGATATGGAGTGATTTGGTGATAAAGTACATGCTTAGCATGTGTGAAGTGCTGAGTTCAAACCCCAGTAACAAAACAAACAACATGAATATCAGTCAGACATGCCTATAATCCCAACATTCTGCAATGCTGAGGAGGAGGCTTGCCAGTTCAAGTCTCACCTAAGCAACTTAGCAGTTTAGTAAAAAACTGGTTTTAAATTTTTTTTTTAAAAAAGGGCTAGGGATATAGCTCCGTGCAAAGGCCCTGGCCTTAATCCCTAGTACTGCAGAAAAGCAAAACCAAAAACATGATTATCTAGTACCTGGCATGGACACTGGTACTTATTAGCCTCTTCTTACTTTCTCAGAGAATGTGGCTTTACCATTTTCAAAGAAATCCATGATCTCTGAGGGTTGCTCACATTTACCTGGTCTCAGTTCAAATGGCCAATTTATAACAGACTACAGATTCTCACATTCACTTCATTGCAAATAAAGTTCCCACAGGGTTGAAACTAAATATTACAGGTGGTTTTTTTGGCGGGGGGTGGGGGGCGGGTGGTAAGATAAGGTCAAAGCATGTACATGGTTCAGGCTGGCTTTAAACACACTATGTAGCCCAGGTTGGCCTAAAACTCCTGGCAATCCTTCTGCCTCAATGTCTAGAGTGCTAGCATTACAGGCATGCATCACCATACCCAACTGACAGTTAATTTTTTGTCTCAACCCTATTGAACATGGTTTAATAATGTCTCCTCCTTTGTAGACTACCTCAAAGAAGATCAGTTCAATATTACTTTCCCACAAAGCAAATAAATTAATAATATTCCTCACTGAGATGACAAGTGAAAAATTTTTATTTTAAAAACTGGCTATAAGCCAGGTACCATGGTATACTTTGGTAATCCCAACATTCAGGAGGCTGAGGCAGGAGGATCACTGAGCATTCAAGGCCAGCCTGGGCTACATAGTGAGTTCAAGGCTACCTAAACTACATAGAGACCCTATCTCAAAAAACAAACACACACACTCACAAATGTGCACAAGTGCACACATAAAAACTGCCTACATTGCTCAAGAGTTTACTGGAGGATTCTATAAAACGTTTAAGGAAATCGTTGTTTTTTGTTAGTTTTTGTTTTTGTTTTTTTTTGGTACCGGAGATTGGAACCTTGCACTTGCACAGCAGGCGGCGAAACCACTGAGCTAAATCTCCGGCCCTAGTTTTTGTTTTTAAGACAAAATCTTGCTATATTATCTAGGCTGGTCTCAAATTCCTAGGCTTAAGCAGTCCTCCTACCTCAGTCTCCCAAGTAGCTGGTGCATTCCACCACAGCTGGCTTATTACTGAGTTTTAAGTAAGGGTTCTTTGCAGGGGATGTAGCTCAGTGGGAAACTGCCTGCCTAGTATGCTCGAGGCCCTGGATTTAAGCCCTAGCACTACTAATGAAAAAATTTTTTGTGTATTTTGGATGTTAGTCCTTCATCAGATAAGGCTTCTGAAAGGATTTTCTCCTAATCTGTGGCTTGTCTTCTTAGTTTTCTTCCCTCCCTTATTTCTTTCTTTCTTTCTTTTTTTTTTTTTTTTGGTTTGTCCTATAACCTTGCTATAATCATTTACTGGTGAATATTAGGAATATTTTCTTACTTCCTCCTTTCTGGCAATTATAGGGTTACTATACAAAACAGGACACCCAGTTAAATTTGAATTTCCCATCAGGTAGGGTAATACACACCTATAATCTCAGTACTCAAGAGGCTGAGGCAGAAGAATTAAGAGTTTGAGGGCCGGGGATTTAGCTCAGTGGTTTTGCTGCCCGCTGTGCAAGCTCAAGGACCTGAGTTCGATCCCCAGTACCAAAAAAAAAAAGAGTTTGAGGCCAGCCTGAACTACAGGGCCTTGTCTCAAAAAAAAAAAAAAAAAATTAATTTCCCAAATATTACCTGGGGTGCTGGGGATTTAGCTTAGTGGCACTGCGCCTCCCTGGTAAGCACAAGGTGCTGAGTTAAAAAAAAAAAAAAAGCTTTGCCAAATATTACATGGGACATACTTGAACTTAAAAAAAAAAAAAGTTTACTGAAATCCAAATTTAACTAAAATCCTATATTTTTACTTGTTAAATCTTATATCCCCTACATGCCACTACCACAAGCCTGGATTACTGCAATGGACTCCTAACTGATCTCCCCTATTCTTCCTTTGACTCACTTCAGCCTCTTTTCTACAAAGCAGACAGAGTTAAAGTAACTCTCAATCAGATTACATCCTCCCGTTACTCAGACTTTCCACCGCTCCTACCCTACTGAAAATAAACCCAGAGTTCTCATGATTATTTACAGTGTATTCTGCAAACTTCCCTAACCTTGCTCCTCTCCCATCTATACCTCTCTCCATAACTTTCCATAGCTCCTCACAATTGCTTTCCTTCCTAGGTCCCTGTACATACTGCACCCTTGACTTGGTACACTTCTCTGTCAGCTATCAGTATCATAGGTCACCCCACTTCCTTCAGGTGGTCTCTCAAATTATTTATTCAAAATCTTAACTCCACAGCAATCACTGTGACTCTTTCTTGCCTTATTTTTTCCACAGAAAATTATCATTCCAATACAGTATATACAGTATTTTATTAATTATCTTTTGTCTTCTGTCTCAGTACATATATCTATGCTTACTAGAATATAATATTAGGCTCACTGCTTTATCCTCTGGAATCTAGAAATCATGCCTGGCACATAATAGGTGCTCAGAAAACATTTAGTGTTAAGTGAGTAAAAAACTTGGGAACTAAATTAGAATAGAAACAATGGTGGATATCCCAATATACAATGGATATCCCAAATATCCACAAATTTAAAACATACGAGGGTTTTTTGTTGTTTTTTTAATACTGGAGATTGAACTCCGGGCTAAGCACGTACTTTGCTATTGGCCTACACACAATTACATCCTAAATCCCTGGATCAGTATGGACTTCTTACAGGCACCACCATGCATACCTATAGTTCCCAGAAACTTGGCAGGTTGAGAAAATAGGATCACGTGAGTCCAGGATTACAGGAGTTCCAGGCCAGCCTGGGAAATATAGCAAGATCCCATCTCAAAAAAAGAGCCATGTGCAAGGACTCAAGTTCGATCCCGGTACCAAAGAAAAAAACAAAAAAACAGCCAGGCCGTGGGCCGGAGATTTAGCTCAGTGGTTTCGCTGCCTGCTGCGCAAGCGCAAGGACCGGAGTTCAATCCCCGGTAGCAAAAAAAAAAAAAAAAAAAAAAGCCAGGCTAGACATGGTGGCACATGCCAGCACTCAGGAGGCTGAAGGAGAATTTCTGTAGAGTTCAAGGCCAGCCTGAATTACAAAGTGAGACCCTGTCTCAAAAAACAAAACAAAACAAAAACGAACAAAAAATAGGTGTAACGGCATATGCTCATAATCCCAGTATTCTGGCAGGGCCAGACAGGAGGATCACAAATTCAAAGTCAGCTTGGGGTACACAGTGAGATCCTCTCTCAAAAACAAAAAGTCATCGTTTGATGTCATTATTCCATACCTATATTGATATATCTATCCTCGATCACCTTTCATATCTGTTTATGTTGACAAAGGACAGTAATTTATGTACTCTGTGACTTGGGCTTTCAGATGTAGTAGTTCCCTCTTATTCCAAGGGGTTGTTTTCCAAGACTTTCAGTGGATGCCTGAAACCACAGGTCATATCAAGCCCTATAATTTACTGCCTTTTCCATCATAGCACTTAACTGTAATTTTTTAAAGGTATGACAGCAAAAATTAACAGTTTCTTTCTTCACAATTCCGTAGATAAAAGTTTTCTTCTTACCATGAATCTTGGCAACCTCAGAAATACACATTTTTTTCTTTCCTTAAATTGGAAACTGTCATCTTGGCACTTTAAAGGAGCGCTTTACAACTTTTTTTTTTTTCTTCGCCTATCTCAATTCCCAACATTACTACTCTTGCACTTTGTGACCATTATCAAGTAAAATAAGGGTTACTTGATCACAAGCACTTACTGTGATAGTTGATCTAACAACCAAGAGGGCTCTGATAAAGTGACTAATGGGTATCATATACAGGGTGGATACCCCAGACAAAACGATGATTTGTGTCCTGACGAGGATGAAGCAGGGTAGTAAGAGATTTTATCATGGCACACAATTCAAAATTCATGAATTGGTTATTTCTGGAATTTTCATTTAATATTTTTGGACTGTTATCGACCACGGGTACATGAAACTGCAGAAAGAGATGGATAAGGGAGGACTACTGTTGTTCCCAGAGTGCCAGAATCTAATCTATGCTTAGGATTTTTTTTTTTTTTTAAGACAATCTCACCATGTAGCTCAGGCTGGCCTTAAACGCACTACGTAGCCCAGGATAGGCTCATTTCCTGGCGATTCCCCTGCTTCAGGCTCCCGCGTGCACCACCACACTCAGCTCTTAGGAAGAATTTTAAAGTGGTTAAAGAAACCATGGTTACCGCCACACACACACACACACACACACACACACACACACACACACACACTTTCCCCCCCTTCGGTACAAGGGATCGAACTCAGGATCTCAGGACCTTGCACTTTTGAAGCAGGCGCGGCGCCAACTGAGGTAAATCCCCGGCCCACCCCCCCATCCCCCCACCCCCAATTTTTAAAACAATTGAGATATACTCTTTCTCTCTTCACGAAGGACCAACTGGGCTTAATGCCTTTAGGCTCAGGTTTGTCTTTAAGCGTCTTGTGACTCACACTACCTGTGGAGTTTTTCACTTCCGGTAGGAACGGAAGTACTATCTGCCTAAAGTCACCTCAGGCGGCCCATTCGTCATCCCAAGGCGAAGGACAACCTAAACGCGCGCTCTTACACTTTGCTGGGCAGGGCTCCCTCTTCTTGCAGACCCTGCTCATCTCCTGCTAAGGGAAGATGAGAGGACCCGCGAGGGCAGAGGGTGGCTGAGGGCGCGGGCCGCACCCACTCCTCCTACACTCAGTCCTCCGGAGGCCAGGACTGAGACCTCAAGCGCCCCACTCCCCGACTGCTGGAAGAGCGGCTTCTCTTCACTCCGTGGCCCCGTGAAATCCAAGGAGACCACTCTCCAAATCAAGTCGCCCTAAACCCCAGGGAGAGAACAAGCATTTAGACTCCAACGCTCAGGTCTCTGGAAACGCCCGCAAGGTCCCCGGAAATTCCCAGCCTGTCTCCCAAGGCCTTGTTTGGCTCTTCAACCTCTCCTCCACTCCGTTTCCGTACCTCCCACACACATGCCGAGAGTCCCCACCTCCGGTGGTCCTCCCATGCAAACCTAGAGCCACCGGGTCCCGCCTTCGAGGATTCCCTCCTGGTCCCGCGGAGACCAAGCATGTGCAACTACGCCTCCTGATGCACACTGACCAATGAGGATTCGGCTCCATCCCCAGGACTCCGCCCCCTCAGGTCACATGGTTTGAACTGTCAACTTTCCGCAGTTAACCTAGCTGCTCCCACTCCGATTTAAACCCGACCCAGCTGCACAGAGCAGACCTCGCTGGTCACCTTGCGTGTGGGGTTAACAAAAAGTCCCTGACCAAGATCTGACAATGCCATGCGAAGGCGGCATAGGTCGGACCAGGTGGCTGAGGACCAGGACCTGGCTCGGGCTCTCGGACGGGAGCCAGGCCGCCGGAGTGGGGTTTGGGGCGGGAGGCACGGAGATCACGTGGGGGCGCGGACGTGGGGCACTACAGGATGAAGGAAAGAGGCGGACAGTGGCCTGTGGGCAGGGACAACAGAGTAAGCAGGAGAAGTCCACGACTCTGCCTCGGGGTTTGACGACCCAGAAGGCACACAGGATGGGCTCACCCGCGAGTGTAGATGGAAATGAGAGCCAAGTGAGCCCAGACTGCAACTGAGCAGGACGGCTCGGAGATGACAAAAGCGGAGCCAAGCGCCAGAGCGCGCCTGGTCCTAGACCAGTGAGGGGCACCTGCAGCACGGCGTGCTTGGGAGGCCACCCCAGAATACGCAAAGCGAGGACGGGATCATCCCAGCAATCGGGAGGCTGAGGCAAGAGGATGGCAACTTTCAGCCTACCTTGGGGAATTTAGTGAAACCCTGTCTCAAAGTTTAAAAAGGATTGGCGTGGTGGCACGTGGCTGAACGCCTAGCACTCAGGAGGCTGAGGCAGGATTGCTACAAGTTCAAGGCCAGCCTGGGATACATAGCAAGACCCTTTCTCAAAAAACCAGAAAAAGAGGCCGGGCATTTAGCTCAGAGGCACCGCGCCTGCCTCGCAAGCGCAAGGTCCTGAGTTGGATCCTGGTACCAAACAAAACAAAACAAAAACCACAAAAAGGGTCAAGAGTGTAGCTCTGTGGCCCCACATCTTCCAGGCAAGTGCAAGGTCCTGAGTTTGATTCCCGGTCCCAGAAAAAAAAAGTTTGTGGTGGGGATGTAGCTCAGTGGCACAGCGCCTACCTGGCAAGCATGAGGTCCTGAGTTTGATCCCAGGTACCAAAAAAAAAAAAAAGTTTAGGGCCAGGTGTGGTGGGAAACTCCTGTAGTCTCAGCATTTGGAAAGCTGAGGCAGGAAGATTGCTGGAGTTCAAGGCTAGGGTGAGCTGGCTACATACCAAGCAAAAAATAAGCAATAGAATTAAAAAGGGCTGAGGGACTGGAGATTTAGCTCAGTGGCACTGCGCCTGCCTCACAAGTGCAAGGTCCTGGTACTGCAATAAATAAATAAACAAACACACAAGGGCTGGAGATGTAGCTCAATGCAAAGGCCCTGAGTTCAAGTGCCAGTAGGGGAAAAAAAAAGCAGTGGGGGTTGGGATCATATGTGACAGATGCCACTGCTGTGTCAAGGTAGATGAGAAGATGTTTTTTTCCGGTACCAGGGATCAAACTCAGCACCTTGTGCTTGCCAGGCAGGCACAGCACCACCAAGCTAAATCCCTGCCCGAGGATTTTTTTTTTTTAATGAGTGAGAATTGGTGATCTTGGCAGGAGCACTTTCAGTGGTGTGGTGAGGACAGATGCCTGATAGGTGTGTGGTTTCAAAACAGCAGGAGAAATCTTGCTATACCCATACAATGGAAAACTACAAGTAATAAAAAGGATTACGTAATTAGCACACCATGGAAAATCTCAGTTATGCTGAGTGAAAGAATATATACTGTAAGTAGAGTACATACTGTATGGTTCCATTTGTATAAAGTTCTAGAGAATAAAAATAATCTCTAGTGGGCCGGGGATTTAGCTCAGTGGTTCTCGAGCCTGCCTTGCAAGCACAAGGTCCTAAGTTTGATCCCCAGTACAAAAAAATAAATAAATAAAAGACTCAGAGGGAGAGTAAAGCAGAACTTAAGGGAAAACAAGTTTTTCCCAGCCTTAGGCAGTTTCCCCCCATCATCATCACCACCACTCCCCCCACTGTAACTCCTTGTTCTGGTACAAATAAAATTGGCAGTGGCAACTATGTCTTGTAAACAAAGTTTTATGACATCTTATTCTCATAAGATTCACAAGGCTCAGTCTTCTTTCAAGGATAAATTACACAGTTATGACCATATGATTGTTTTTAATTGCTTTGTCTTGCTTCTGTAACCTCCCTTGCCTCCACCCCACCCTTAGTTTCTCAACAACCTCCTTCAACCAAATGTATAAAACTGGAGCCTTTCCTTTGTTCTGGGCTTGATCTTTGGACACTAGCCTAGTCCCTTGTCAATATACACCTAAAACCTGGAATAAATCTTCCTGTATCACCTGTTGGTCTATCCTATCTCTTAAAATCCTGCAATAAGAGCACTTAACTAGCATGAGTGAATTCTGGGTTCAATCCCTAGGACAGCAAAAAATCAAATGAAAACATTACTGAGTTGCAGCTCCATTCTGCCCTCCCTAATACCATTCACCTAGCTCCCTTCCCCAAGTGAATTCTATCCCGAATTTGTTACTTCCTTTTTCTTTTTTTCAGTACTAGGGACTGAGCTCAGGGTCCTTACACTGAGCTACATTCCCATGAGATATTAATAATTAATACTAATAATTCAAATAATGAGATACTAAAACCATAGAGATAAACCTTAAATATATTAAATCAAAAGCCAAAGTGGCTGGGAGTGGTTGTGCCCACCCATAATCCCAGCACTTTCAGAGACTGAGTCTGGAGGATTACAAATTCAAGTCCAGCCTAGGCAATTTAGTGATTTAGTGAGACCCTGTCTCAAAAGACAAAAAAATATTTTTTTAGAGAAAAAAGGGCTTTCTTTTTTTCTTCGCAGTTTTAAAATATAAGATCATACTACCTTCAGGAAATCATAAATTTCTGAACATTGTATTATAAGTAAAATGATTTTCTTTTTTAAAAAAATAACTTTTTATATAGTTTTTTCAAACAAGTTGAAAGGTGGCTGTGTCTGCTCCAGTCATTTGGAGGACTGAGGGCTGATGGGTAAGTAACAGTTGTTTTTGTTAGCAAGTAGATTTTAAGTTGTCCAGAGTATATATCTATTTCTAAAATATGTCTGATACAGTTAGACACCTAAAGCTACTCTTAGCCCTAAGAACAAGTATCTTCCATCTCCATTGGAATCAAATACTCTCAAATTCTCTAGTTCTGGTATGGCAGAACCTAGGGAGTTCCAAATTTCCTGGTAGGTCAGTTTCCCATCCACGTCCTGGCCAGTCTTGTGGAATAAATCCTGAAGATCTTCAGTGCTAGAAATTCCTCGTAGGGAGATAGGTCTTAGTTGAGCAGCTTTCTCAATTTGGTCTCCAAGAAATTGTGAAAATTCTGGCAATGATGATGGCTTTGATGTGAAACTGAACTTGCTCTTCATCTGCAGTCTCAGGAGGCCTGTTGCTCTCAGGTTTGTTTGTGAGGGCCCAGATCAGCTGCACCTTCTCTCGTAGCTTGGATACCTGAGAATTTGAACTATCTTTTTTTCTTTGTGATTTGGGTTTTTATGATATTAGTTTTGTTGGTTACTTGATCCAAAGATTCTCGTTTCAGAGTGGCAGCTCTATCACCCATCATGCTGGAGGTCAGGTTTGCTCTCTCTTTTTTTTTTTTTTTTTGGTACCAGGGATCAAACTCAGGTCCTTGTGCTTGCAAGGCAAGCAGCAGAACCACTGAGCTAAATCCCCGGCCCTGCTCTCTTTTCTATCTTGCTTGGAGCAACCATATCACTTTCTATCAGGTTGACTCTTTGGGTAACATTACTGAGCGTTTCATTCATTTCCTTAAGTTTAAGGTCATTCTGTCTCTGGTACACCATTAGGCACTATTTACCTCCTCTAAAGAGTTATGAAGGTGTAGGATATTCTGTTTAAAATTCTCACTGTGGGTTTTATTGTCAAGTTCTGATGTAGCTGAAGATGTTGGAATGATCTGGTTGCTTCCATTGTTCAAGAAGTGCTGATTCATATCACTCTGCAGTAATTCCATTTTTTTATGTGTGTTCATCCACAGTTTTCTGTGTTGTCTCCACAGCAAGATGCATGCTGTTTAAAGTATTGGCAATGGAAGCTACACTCTTCTAAAGTCCCTTTACAGTGTTAGGCAGGCTAATTAGGTCTGCAACTGATTTAACATTGGCTTTGAGGTAGTTTACTGCAGAAGTCAACAGAAAAATGTGCTTATTCATTTCTGTGATGTTGATCCAGATTTTGTCTAAGCCCAGGTCTCCCGATTCAATCTTCTCAAATTGCTTTTGTTTGGTAAGAAGTGATAGGTCTCCCACTACCTCAGGAGCTATTATGTATAGTAGCTGCCCTCTTCCTATCATGCCTTGCCCCCTCCCCTGTGTGACGTCAGCCAAGATGGTTGCTCCCACCAAAGAATAAACCTTTGTTCCCGCCTAGAGAGTAACCTAATACTTGCTCACCTCCTACCACCTAGTGACATCACGGGCTCCTCCATTCCCTAGTCACTACCTCATTCAACCCCGACTCAGCCCCTACAAACCCCACCCCAGTCTCTATAAAAGACTCTCCCTGCCCCCCAGCCATGTTGCTTTTGTCTCTCCTTTGTTCAGAGATACCCCAGCAGATCTAGTCCCCTAATAAAGGCTTGTTGTGGCCTGGTCTGGTCTTGGTCTTTGGCCTTTTACCTGACAAGAAGTTCTTCATTAAATTTGGGGATTTCCTGGAATGAGCTTTTCTGATTAGATTCCATTGTTCTAAATTTTTCCTTGAGGGCATCCAGATCCTCCTTGAGAGCAATTTGCATCCACACCAAGCCAACACAAGCCACATCCCAAGCTGCAAGGATTACAAAAGCACAGAGGGAATAACAGATTTTGCAGCATCCTAAGTAGTCTCCCTTGGCAAAGAGAGAGCGATTTCCAACTCCATCAAATTCCTCTTCCTCCTCTGAGGTGGACTCGAGTCTGGCTCAGGAGGCTCAGTGTGAAGCAGATGGTGGCTGCTAGAGCCTTTC